ACTGCTGTCTATGATGCTGATGAATAATTATATTAAAAATTTAGGCTTGGATGATCCAAATCACCCTGGGAAGATGGATGGGTGGATAATCATACAGATATTTGTTCATCCAATCTTGACTGAATGCATCAGCAGCCAGAGCAAATGGATGAGGAACCAGAGATCAAAATGCAGATAACTTGATATTGAGGGATGTGACAAATACATCTAGGTGAGGAGTACCCCACTAAAAGCATAGCCACTGGAAAACATGAGGATTGAAATACCACTCCATTGTGATGGGAAAGACAATCTTCAACAAGATTGAATGCACCTGGATCATGCAAGGAGATGAATACTGAGCATGTGGGCCCAAAAAAGGAGATCCAAGGTTCAACTACAAAGGGAACAAGAATGGGTGCTGCCTTGGTCATTGATATAAGCCAACACCAAAGAATTGTCAGAATGGATCATGACCAAATGATTCTTGGCAAGATGAAGAAAATGATCCAAAGTATGATGCACAGTCAGAAGCTCCTGGATGTTGATATGGTAAGATCTTTTGGCTGGAGACTACCGACCTGAAGCTTGCTACTCATCAACCCATACCCCCCAGCCCTGAAGGGAAGCATCCATGAAGATATTCATATCCAGACAAGGGGGAGAAAGTGGAACACCTGCCAACGTGTGAGCCCTGTCCAACCACCAGTGCAGATTGCTGACAAGGGAAGAAGGAAGGGAAATAGGAGCCTCTAATGGATCCCATGCAAGATTCAACTGGTCGTGCAAACACAACTGAAGAAACCTCAAATGCACTCGAACCAAGGGGATAAGGTCTTCCATAGAAGACCATATCTTCAAAAGCAATAGAACCTCATGAGCTATAAGAAAGGGAGCAGTAAGGGTGTGGAGAACTGAAAGCTCCATCAAACAAAGTGGATGAACAGAAGGTTGGGCCAGACTAAGATGAAAGTTGAAAATAATACCTAAGTGGACAAGATATTGGGTAGGTGTTAGGAATATCTTCTTCAATTTGATTAACCAACTCGCACAAGCTGCCTCCAGGAGCAGTAGAGGAGTGAGACAGGCATATTCCCGTTCGGAACAAGCTAACAGAAGCTAATCATCCACGTAATGATGGAAGCACAACCCCGAGCATGCAAATATCGAGCAAAAGACTTGACCACCCTACAAAAGACATACAGGGCCACAGCAAACCCAAAGGGTGGGGTGCAAAATTGATAAACTACCCTGTGATGAACAAACCAAAGACAGCATCTTGTTATAGAGTGATCACTGAAGTCAGGAAACCAGTAAAAGAAATTAACAGAAAAAGTAAAAAAAAGTACTGACATTTCAGTGTTTTCTTACTTGTATTCACAGGTGAATCTTATTGATGTATTGGTTATATATATATATAATATTTGTAAGCAGAACAATTTCCCCAATTTTAATAACAATTTAGCTAAAAAAAAAACAGCAACATGTATTAGCTTGTTTGCCTAGTTCCATATAACTCATAAACTTGCATAAAAATATAGTTAAACCAAACTGTTCCTTGAAAAATACTTGTGCATGTTTATGACACTGGAACTAGCCTGATACTTAAAATTCATGATGTGTCAAAATTTTTAGCTTATTTTCAAATTAAAAATCAGCAAAATGTAAACACGGAAAAAAAAAAAAATTATTAATGTTCAGCTAGTTTAGACAAGTATTATACATACAATGACTGAATTCATACTAATAAGAAAACCAGTGATGAAAACTGTAATATTCAGATAACTACAACTTACTTGGATGACTCCAATTTAGAATTTCCAAAGACGAGCTTGAAAATTCAAACTTCTTCATGGAAGGTCTGGTATGCATAACTTCACCCTGTAACTGATTATCTACAGCAAGCATCCCTTTACAACCTCCATATCGGACTTGCATCGCTGATGGACACGTTTCTATATTTAGAGCTTTGTATACCTTGAAAAATTAGTTACTGATATATAATCTACAAAAATACCATACACACAAAAATGATTACTTCCAATACATGGGTCAGCCTGGTTTGTTTATTTGAAACTGTTTTATGAAAAATAAAACAACAATGTGTATGTTATATAATCCTCTTTATCCAACAATTCCCAAGTTTAGTAAAGTGAACTACTAAAACTTTTCCATAAGAAAAGAAGATAGGGGGCACTTCTTTCACTTTCTTTATCTGTTGCATAAATATGAAATCAAAATTACGCATCCAAATTTAAAAAATCTTCAACACATTTATAATGAACACCATTCCTTAAACTTAAACACAAATTAACATCCCAATGAAAAGAAATTGCATGCTGAAATGACCTGTGGGGTAGTTTTCAAGGAGAATAGACAGACAGGCTCCACTCAACACAACGTGCTTTGGACCAACTCAATATAAGAGAAGAAACATGTATATACATGAAATATGGCATGCCTCGAGTAAAAGGTATACATCTGTTGTACACAGGAAAATCAGATGTTACAAAAGTACTTGTACTCAATATGGGACTGTGCATTGATGACATCAATCTGACTCAGACTTTGAGAATTCGGACTGCAAGGTGATGTTCATGTATACTTTATCCATTTTACACTTTACACGTTACATTTGTATAAACTATAGAGCCTCCAAAATGCATACCTATAGTTTCTGTATATCCTTGTATTTGGTATTAACTCACCTCTACAATGAACTGTCACTAAATCAAAATGCAGGGTAAAATGAATAGTTGATGACTCTGATATCAAATACATACCATGTTGAATGGCACTCTGTAATGTCATGACACGTGCACATAAAGTCAAGCAATTTTAGATAATATGATGTTTGTGAAACTAAATATATTCATTAAATATGGGTTAAATGTGCTGAGGAGTGCTGGAGCTTAGAAAACTGAAAATGAAAAAGTTTATAGGATATCTAGATTATTTAGATTTTTAAAGTTCAGTTCAAAAAATTTAAAGATAAGTGTAATAGATCCAAAGAAAAACTTTAGTTACTATTTTAACATCAGAAGAATTAGGAACAAAATGGGTAAGATCACGGCTCTAGTCAAAATATAAGAACCCTGATAACAGGAATTATTTTGAATTCCAAGTAACAAGTTATTGAACCGTAATAGATTTTTGAAAGAGAATGTGAAGTAGCTATTTATATAACGTTTAGAAATGGTAGTTAAGAAGCTGAGTCTATATGGATTACAACCAGAGGTTCAAGGGAAGAAAGTTTTTAATTAGCAACTGTTATGAGCAACCTAATCAGACAGATGATGTCAATAAGAAATTGTATAAGGTAAGGGCTATTACTTATAATGATACAACAGTTATGGCAAACATGAATTTTACACACATACACTGACTGGGAATGTATGGAGTCAAGTACAGATAGAGAGAGAGATGTTTTGAAGTCAGAGAACCAACCAGAGATAATGTGGTTACAAAAATTGAAGTGGGGAATCATTTAGAGAAGAGTGACCATTACGTGATTAGGTTTGATGTTTTCGTACATGTTGAGATAACAGGAAGTGCAATTTGAATTCCTTATTTTCAGAAAGCCAATTTTGAAACCATGAGAAATAAATTATCATAAGTGAATTTGAATAATGAGTTAAAAATGATACTGATTAATTTGGGAAATTAACAAAACATATTAACTCAAGGTAAGCATGTTCCAAAAAGAACAAAATAAAACAATGAAGATAAAACCATATTGGCTTACTAAAGACATAAAGGAAAAGATTAGGGTTAAATGTCATAAATTTAGGTTTCAATTGACAGAAAGGTTGGGAGACATATAGAGCTACAGGAAAGTTAAAACTTTGACAAAAAAAATTAAGAAAGCCAGAAGGGCTTATGAGAAACAGCTGGCTGATAATGTTAAAGCTAACAACCATGATTTTTTTATGAGGCAAACAATGTGTTAAAATGAGAATTGGGTTCTTAAACTTAATATTTTCCAACACTGAAAATGTATTTCCAATAGATACTCACCTCTTCACATATATGGCTTTCCCGTTCAGTGCTGTCCTCCATGTGCAAACTGTTTTTACTTACCACTAGCCTTCAGTCTCCCACATAAACTCACATTTTCAGGTAATATTGCTGCACTGTTGCATTCCAATGAACATGCAACAACCCTTCACTAACAGGAGTGCAACACAACCTCCTAGCACAGCTGACTCCCTCTATACTGATTGTTCAATCATATCTTCAAGATTAGAAAAGTAAAGAAGATGCACTGGAACTGGGGAGGAAGGGTGAGATGAGGTGAGTAACTATAAGAAATTGTCAGTGTTAGAAAATCTTAACTTCCCTCAAATATAGCTAAAGTCCCACATTGAAGTGAGGGAGGGACCAGTGCAAAATGTACCTAGATGAGCCTCCTTTGGGAAGTACCAACAGGGAACCCATGGATTATACAACCATATACCATGGAACAGTATAGGGGCACACACAGTGGTGGACTGGGTCTAAACTTTCTACCGGGAAAACTTGTAAAAAGGCCCACTCAAAAGGGTCCAAAAGGGCCCACTTAATCCCAAAACATAGTCAAAGGAATCAAATAAAAGTAAAGGTTTTAAGTAAATAAATGTTACATCCATTCAACATTGTTGTAGTTATTTATGTTAATGCATGCATAATACAAATACTAGAAAATTTTAATAATCTTATAACAGGAATGAAAATCTTAATCATAGAACAACCAATCGGAATTTACGAAGCATAATTTGAAATTGTTTTCAAAGTATAATTAAAATTGGAACGTGTGAATTTTTAATGTGTGCACATATCACTAAAACAGTCAAAAATTCAGTAATTTACAAAGCAAAAATCACTTAGACAGCAAGCAATCTAGAAAACTGTGTCAATTTTTTCACAAGGAAAGGAATAATATCATCCACAGAAATTTCAGAAAGTAAATCTTTTTCAATGCTCATCAGCATAAAAGTTTCAAGTAGCTCATTTGATAGCGAAGAGCGTAATCGAGTTTTTACAATTTTCAACTTACTGAATGCATGTTTGCAACTGACTTGTGTGAACGACAGGGTCAAAAGATATTTGTAAGCTAAGAACAAATTTGAGTATGCAGATGCGTGCAAAGAATACTTAAATAGGATACAGAAACAGCAAAGCAGGCACTTCCTACATGACTTTCCAGAAGTGCAATGTGAACCTGAAATTACATCAAAGTGAGTTTGAAGTATCTGTTCTTATTCTAGGTGTCTGGTTGTTGCAAACTCTTCATTCAGAGTTTTCGAAAGGCTGTCAAAGTTTAGGATGAAAGACTGCAATTCATTGCTCAGTTCCTGCTTGTCCAAACCAAGACGATTGCATATGTTTTTCAGCGCTTCTGGTGGCAATCTATTTCTTTGAGTTCTTGGAAACAATGTGGATCAAAACAGGCTATGTCAGTTATTAGTTCATGGTTATTAGAAAAACGTTCAACAATACCTGTCGTAATTTGGTCAATCACACGACAAAACACTTTCACCCTGTAGCGATCTACTGAAGCATCAATTCTTTCATCCGGGGAATCATCCCTCAGGAGTTCACCAGGCATTCACCTCTTTCTTGATGTTCTCATCTTCCTGAATTCCCCTTCTATTGCAAAATCAGTTTCCTCATCATCAACGAACATTTGATTTGCTGCCTCAATGAAATTTCTTGTTGTTTTCATGATGTTTTTGAATTCCAGATGTTTTAAAACCTCTTTCGCTTTTTCTACCATATTCTAGGCACTAAGATAATCTAAGCCTTCAGTTTGCAGATATTCCGAGGCCGATCTCATGGTACTGTACACCCGCAATAACAATAAACTTGGTAAATGATACACCATTTATCAAGAAGTGAATTGGCCTCAAAAGTAACTTTCGCATCAAATTTAGGAGATTCGACAATCTGAAGCAAGACAGCAATCAAAAGGTGAAACAACTCAGGCTATGGTGAGTCAAAACTTCCGAAAATATGTTCAAGGGCCCTGTGTTTAGCCCACCAACGGGTTTCTCCAATCTTCTGCAAATGTTTCACTTTCGCTGATCCAACCATCTTCTCTGAAGCAACTTCTGTCCAGATGTTCATTCTCTTACATGATTCTGAAAAAAATGTCACTGTTGACTGTAGTAATCCGATCAAGTTTTTGACCTGCAGAATATTTTGGACCAGATCTGTTGATGCCAAATTAAGGATATGAGCATAGCACCAAATGTATATGGATTGTGGGGCTTCATCTCTTATATACTACACCACACTGTGTATTCACCTCTCATGTTACCAGCTCCATCAAACGACGCACCTGCAATGTTCTTCACTTTTAATTCACTATATTCCAGCATAGCCTTTATTCGTTGGTATAATCCATATCCAGTAGCATCTGTAACCTTGTTTAGAGCAAAGAAACATTCTTTTACTTCATCCAACAAAACATAATGCAAAATTATGGATTCCTGATCAATCACTGCTGTGTGTTGAGTACTATCCATTTGCACAGAATATTTCTAATTCCCAATTTCATTAACAATGCATGACTTCATAATGCTCCGGATGGCTGACAGTATATAGTTCACGGTTGTTTTTGATAACATTGATACCATATTTCCGCATCCTTTTGATTTTTCTTTTCCTTTTTTTCCTTAAAGACTTTTCTCGGTCCTTACAAACCTCGACAACTTTGCTTATGTGACTAGCCAAAGGTACATTAAATTGGGAGAGAAGCAGTATCATTTCTAAAAAGTTACCGTGATCAATGTTCTGGTTTTCAAGGTAAAGACCTGATTCATTACAATGTTCTCAGTATAGCAGTGCATGTTTTCCTAAAAATTTGATCACAGCTAATATGCATTTCAGAACTTCAATGTTTTCCATTACTTGCTTCCACCTCAATTTAACACCTTCCTTTACCAGCAAAGATTCTATATCTCTTTCCTTTACAGCACTGAAAAATACCAGAACTG